AAGTTGTTTTAAAAGAACTTTCTGAAACAATATATACCCTCTCTGTTTTAGAAGGAGCGTAGTGGAGAGAGGAAATGCTGCCCGTACTAAGTAACTGCCCTTTGGGCTTGCCTCACTCATCCTATGACTAATTCAGCCATCCCATCATAAACTTGCACATTCATTTCCCTCCCCATGGGATTTCCCCACTGGCCTACCCTTTTATGCCACACTCAACTTTACTATGTGATAAGACATTTATTCAGAAATGTAAAACTCTCTTGCTAGGACACTATGATACTATATAAATTTGAATGACCTGAAATAAAAATACTGGCTACAAATGTTACACTGAAAATTTGACCACAAAAGGTGTAATGGCATCTCCCAATAAGCCACAGAAGTAAAAAAAAAAAAGAGCTAGCAAATGGCACTGTCTTTTTCTTAAAAATGAAATTGTATCAAATAGCTTATACTTACATCTAATATATCGATAGTTGCTGAATTTCACTTTTTCCAAGACCCCACAATGTTTACCTTCCTAGTCTTCTAATCCAAAAGTTCTAGTCAACACATCTGAGCCCTGTGGGCCCCTCTCTGCTGATATCTATTCATGTGATGAACACCTACCACATACCAGACGCTGTGTTAGGCTTTGGGAAGGAAGAAAAAAAGATACCATTCTGCTCCTCAAAGAGCTCCAATTTGAAAGCTCCTAACATGCTTGTGAGAGACAAGAGGACAAAAGAGGGTGGCAGCTCTCTGGTGAGAACATATTCTTGACAGTTGTGTAATGTGATGGGGAAGAAAAGAACCAGGGGCGGCTGGTTAGAGTGCCGTGCTCATAACACCAAGGTTGCCGGTTCGATCCCCACATGGGCCACTGAGCTGCGCCCTCCACAACCAGATTGAAACAACTACTTGACTTGGAGCTGATGGTCCTGGAAAAACAAACTGTTTCCCAATTTAAAAAAAGAAAGAAAACAAACCAACTTGGTAGGGGAAAAAAAACACACACAAAAGAATCACAACTATAGTTATCACAAGAGTAGCCTCATTCCAGCTATGAACCAAATAAGTTTTACCAAATTTATTGTCATTAGTTCTGGCCCCTAATGGGTGGTTAATAAATTTTTTGAATAAACAAACGAAAGAAAGAAAGCGGAAATTCATATGATGTCTCTAAGTATAATGAGACAACTGGGGCCAAGGCACCGCTGGCTGCCAAAACAAGCACGGAACTACAATTCTACTCATTCTTCATAGACGCTGGCTATTGGAACAAAATTATTATGCAACCATTATCCATGGTGACTACACCTGAGCCCAACCCAGGACCTGCTGAGTCACAGGATGATCAAATCAGCAGTACTTATTCAAAGGCAAATTTTTTTACATATTGCAAAACCAAGCTGTACATATATTTTTCTTGGTCAAGATTCATTTATGACCATAATCAGAACTGACGCTTGAGTGATAGGTGGGTAGGTGGCCTTCTCCAGTCTCCCATCTTCCCTTTACAGTACTCCTGGCAGCCAGGGAGCCTAAGGCAGGGAGAACAGGCTCCTGGACTTGAATCCTAATTTCACCAGATACTCTGCGACCTTGGCCACAATCCCCAGCATGGTCTAATTACCTATGTAAAGCAGCTTAATAATACTATCAGCATCACAGTTATTATAGGGATTAAATGAGATAATGCTGGAAAAGTCCTTGCTTTCAGTCACAACACATTCTAAGCCTGTTTTGTTTTAACATTCAATTTAATGGAGGAAAAAAAGCAAAGTTACCAAGTGAAAGAAGGAAGATGACTGTAAACTGCAACTTTGTTTTACAAACAAATGGCCCCTCCTTAAAACCTGTTACAGTAATTATCTTTCCAAGAAGTTGCTACTCTGCAATCTGAGTAACCATGTGCCAACGGGAGTTCACTTTCCTATCAGACAAGTTGGAAATTTTCCTTTGGTACAAAGCATATGCATAGGTTGCCAAAATTAATTCTTTGACAACTGGAGGAAGAAATGAGTATGTTCTAAAACTGCAGGTCTATTACTAAAATAGAAGAAATTACATAATTAAACATACCCAAGTCAGAAAGTTTTAAGATTTTTTTTTGACTAGGTAAAAAGGGATAACCAGAATTAAAATTCAGTTGACCTATGAAAGAGAAATAAAAATCTCTTCAACATGTATAAAGTGCTCCCTGTAGACAAAACGTGTTCATTTGTGAAGATGTTTTAAAGAATAGAAAGATGAAGACTTTAAAAGGAGGTCCCTCTTAAGTGCGACAGGCATCAAATTATAATACAAAGTAAGTGATAAGAGCTACTAACAAAGATAGAAGAAAAGTGCTGTAGGAAGGGGGAGAAATTCTGACTAAGGAGAGAAGGCAGTTGAGCCCCTACGTATTTGGAGGCAGAGCAGAATTTCAAGGTACAGGGAATAGGGGAGGAGGCATTTCACTTGGAAGAAGGAGCATGAATAAAGAAATCTTGTGTCCTTTATGGGAGAAAGTTAATATTGCTAGCAGAGAAAAGGGGAGAAGAAGAAAGCTTGGAGAGGTTATTGGTCTTGTGAAAGTTGAATCAAATATGCAAATTGAATGAATAATGGTCAGGAAATGATTTAATTATCTTTAACTTGATAAGCTCCCTTATGACAGTCTTATTCACCGTAGTTTTTGTGAGAAGGTAAGCAATTATTTTTGAGTCATAATTACAACGTGGAACAATATAACTGGAATAACTCCTGGGAATCATCTTGTGATTGAAGCACTTATTCAGCAATTCTATTATCGGCATTTTGCAGGGAGTAGTTTAGCAAGCTCTTTCCTTATAACCAAAGGGAAATAAACCTCACTACACCATTCCCAAGTTTTTCTCTACTTCGCACAGGATCTCTAAGTCTTTGATCTATAATACCTCGGAAGCATTCTTTCCTAGTAGTTTCTCAAGGAGTGAAAAACTTTATTGATCAACTTTTACACATCATTTTATAAGCAGAATGGGAATCTCCTGAATTTGCACCTTAGCTTACTCACTAAGATCAGGCCATGCAGAGCCCAATAATCAGAAACCCAACTTTCAAAGGCTCATGTGAACGTCACACACTGAACAACTGATTGCAAGAATATGAAATAGACTTAGTCCTTCCCCACCTGTGCAGAAAGATGTCTCTTGGGCAACCGAATCTGAGGGACCAAGAACAACCTGCAGTAGATAAAGACCGCTGGGCTACATGGACAGCAACAGTGAAGAGTTGAGAAGAAGACAAGCACTGTCAGCTGGCTCCTAAAAAACCTACAAAAGTTATAAAATATTTTACCCACTTTCAGAGAGGGCAGACTGTATAAACTTGAAAACAAACACCATGTGTTTAGTTTGCCCCCCACTGTGCTTTATGAACTACTTGCCAACATTCAAGAGTAGGAAGATTTCACTGAAAACTCCAGATGACCAGCTTTTCTTAAAGAATTTGAAGATCTGGCGGTGACACTGGGCTTGTGTTCCTGCTTGGCAACTACAGACTACCCCCTTGGCTTGATTCTGCTCTCCAGTCTGCCCGCCCTCTCTCTTACCTGCCTGGCCCCTGCAGGCATGTGTGCGGGAAATTCTCGAATATGGCTTCAAAACTCAACAGTCAGCACACAAGTCTTAATGGTCTCTCTTCATTTTAAACACACAGTGCTGATTATATATTTTACATATCAATCAATTCCAGTTAGGCAGACCATCTTACTTATGATTCAGGATTACCTTATAAACATTTATGAAAATAAGACAAAGTGAAACCTGTCCTCGGTGGTCAAAAGATAAACAATGTAAAAGACTGTAGAACTATGTCTTGGCAGCTCAGACCAGGGTAACTGACTCATGAAATAAGATTCAAACTAAAATTGGACTGAAAGCTTTCCAGTGTAGACAAGAGAGAGGGGTATCAAAATGAAGGCACAAATGCAGATTTTGGTCAACTGGCCGGCTAAACAGAAGTTTGGAACAATATATACACTGTATATATAATGTATACATATGGTATACATCCACATACATATACATATTAATAATGCGTAAAAATGGTTTGAGGTAAAGTAGTGAAGATGGAGCTAAATAATCATTAAATATTTAATTTACATCAACTTGCCAGATTAGTCAAATGTCCACTGAAGCATGGGCTCTTAACCAACAACCATTTATTTAAATTACTTTTAAATTATCTTACTGAACTCAGTGCTAGATCACTTTAAGAGCAAGTTTCCTAGCAGTCACTTAAATAGCACTGTTAAGGTAAAACTCTGCTGTCATGCATGATAAATAAAAAGAGAAACAGGATTTCCCTGTCATTTTACCCTGTGAAGCATGAAGTGTTTGTAACAGGCAAACTATTCGAACTGAAACGTGCGAGTCTTCGAAATTAAATAAAGATTCTGGTAAAGGCAGTGTACTGTCTTTTTCATGTGTACTGCCACCCCCACCTCCCCGTACCATTCTACCTTCTGCAATTTCTGTGGGATAGGATGACAACGCATCATCACGCTAATAATGTATTTGTTCTACGGTTCCAAAGGGCGTTGTGTTAGGCTACCACAGCCGTGACACAGCTTTCCCCCCATCCAAGGACGTCCTGCGCCCCGCAGGCCAAATGCTTCGGAGGAAGACCGCGGCAGCGGTCAATGTGGCCACCTGTCCTTGGCTGCAGGCGGGCCACTCCGCACGGATGCTCGGCGATTCCTAGCACCCTCTTGGAGGAGGAGTGCCCCCATTAGTAGGTGACCCCGCTCCACCACCAACGCCAGGGCTGCTCAGCTCGGCCGCCGGGGTCGTGAGAGGACGAGGTCCCCCAGGCCCGGGCGGGGCAGCTCCAGCGTGGCAGGTCCTGCTCCGGGGGCCTTGGCCTCCTTCCCTTGCCTGGAGGCTAGGGCCCGGGACCGGGGCAGGCGCGGGATGGGGACGCGACACCCAGCGCCGGTGTCCCGGGGCTCCCGCCCGGGTTCACCTCCTCCTCAAATGTCACCCCGAGCTCACCAAAAAGCGCGTTGAGCTGGTGCCCTGGTCCACTGCCCCTACCAATGGCCCCAAAACTGCTTTCTTCGGTGCTGCCATGAAACCAGCTTCGGGTCGGCGGGCGATCGCGGCCGGTTTCCCGGGTAACGGCGGAGAGTGGGGGAGGTGCTGGCGGCGAGTCCCGAAGGCTAGGAGGCTAGTGACCGCAGAACGATCGGAGAGCGTTCCAGGCGGCCCCTTTACCCGCGCGGAGTCTTCTTACCCCGCCCCTCTGGGCCAGGCCACGCCCCCAACCGAGTTCCCCTGGACTCCGGGGGCGTGGCGGGAGGGGCGCTGTCTGTTGGGCCGACCAATTAGGAAACGCAGAAAGACGCGGAACGTGAAGACAATCGGAGAACTGTGTGACGTCACGGGGGCGGGGCCTGGGTGCGGCGGGGGCGGTGGCCCGCACAGTCGGTCACGTGGGGCCCGGCGACCGGGCCGCGGAGGCAGCCTGCAGTAGGGCTGTGGGCGGAGGCGGTTGCTCCCCATTGGCAGGGGCACTGGCCAGCGGAAAGGGCACAACCCCACCCGCGTCCTTAAGATTCCTGCCCACGTGTGGGTCCCAAAGTGCCGAACTTCTTGTTCCTCTAATGAGTTGTGCAGAGCACGGCGTGAGTTGTTCTTGGGACCCACCCGATCGGGGCTTCCCGCGCTCTTTACGTCCCGCCCACCTCCCCCACTCCTCGCCCATGATAATAATAATCCCCTTTACAGGGACTGACCCCCAAGTAGTGTTACCTCCAGAAACATCACCTTTGTGGGCTTTTCGGGGGTCAAGGAAAACGGAAGTTCTTTCGGTTTAGCATTTAAAGGAAGCACTCAGTTACCCTCCCCAAGTCCCTCAATTGACTATCCAGGCAGAAAGCATCTCTCCCTGTCCTGATGCGCCCTTGCTTCTCACTTGAACTCACACTGGTGTCCCCTCCTTCACACGCCATTTCCTCTGCCATTATTATTAACTGTTCTGGCCCTCACAGGGAGACAAAAGGGGCTCTCTCCTTTGACCTTGAATTTACCTTGCCAGGATCCTTTCAGGTCCTATGTTCCAGGGGCTTTCAAACTTTGGACAAAGACCCACTGTAGGAAAGTTTACAAAACAACCCCAGGCATGTGTGTCCATCTGCATTCTTAGTGTGTGTGTGTGTACACATTTACAAATATAAATACATTATATATATATATATATATATATATATATATATGTATATATGTATATATGGGGAGGGGAAACTTTACCCTTCTGGGTTCTGGCTAGTCTAATAAGTTCACAAATTAATAAGAGAAAATAACCAAATTTAATTATATACAATTAATAGAACTCCACATACATGAGAGAGTCAGAGACCCCACATATATGAGAGGTTTAGAGACAAAGTAAAAATGAGATATACAAGGTGTGACAATTAAGTTCGCAAACTGGTTGCAATGATGTTGCTAACCTTTTTCGGTATCAGGGTTATTCATTATGAATTTATACCAACTGGACAAACAGTTAACCAACTTTACTATTTGGAAGTGCTGAAAAGGCTGTGTGAAAAAGTTAGACGACCTGAACTTTTCACCAACAATTCATGGCTCTTGCATCACGACAATGCACCAGCTCACACGGCACTGTCTGTGAGGGAGTTTTTAGCCAGGAAACAAATAACTGTATTGGAACACTCTCCCTACTCACCTGATCTGGCCCTCAATAATTTCTTTCTTTACCCAAAGATAAAGGAAATATTAAAAGGAAGGCATTTTGATGACATTCAGGACATCAAGGGTAATACAATCACAGCTCTGATGGCCAGTCCAGAAAAAGAGTTCCAAAATTGCTTTGAAGGGTGGACTAGGTAGGTGCTGGCATCGGTGTATAGCTTCCCAAGGGGAGTACTTCGAAGGTGACCATAGTGATAGTCAGCAATGAGGGATGTAGCACTTTTTCTAGGATGAGTTCACGAACTTAATTGTCCAATTTGGTATTGGCATTCTCAGCTCAGGATGAGGTTAGGCACCTGAGGCTTCAGGAGGGAGGAGGGCAATTCTCAGGATTAGAAGAGCAGATGTTCAGTAATAAGAAGTTTGTCCTGCCCTATAGATAGGTCATAAAAAGTTACTTTTGATAACTCTTATAATAGGCAAATCCCCAATTTGAATTCTTTAAGGGAAGATAAAATCTTCTCCTAAGCCCAAGGGGTCTCCATTGCCTTCAGCCAGAAATAATTCACATGCCACAGAAAGACAAATACTATATTTCCCTTATATGTGGAATCTAAAAAACAAAGAACGAACAAAACAAAACAAAAACTCGTTGAAACAGATTAAACTGATGGTCGCCAGAAGGGAGGGGGTTACAGGGGTAGGGGAGTGGGTGAAAAAAAGTGATGGGAAATAAGTCAATAATGTGATAAGTTTGCACAATGACAGATGATGACTCGACTTAGTGTGGTGATCACACTGTAAATATATAAATGTGAAATCACTATATTGTACACCTGAAACTAATATATTGTATATCAACTATACTTAAATAAAAATAAACAAATACAATTTTTAAAAAATAGAAAATAAATAAAAGTAAGTCACATGTCAAAATGGCACACCTTGGAGAGGCCTGTTCTGAACCCCTTCATTTACATATACCGAAAAATGTTTCCAAACAATGTTTATCCTTCCATGCTATGCATTCTGCATTGTTTTATTCTATTTCATACCATTTTTTAAAGTGCTGGTTGAAAATCACAATTGGTTTTGTAAACCACCATGCTCTTTATCAAGTCTGAAAGCATTCTACTATTCCCACTATCACTGTTTTCCATCCCCTTCCCCAATCTCTCAGTGTTCTGGAACATAATTTCTATATTTTGCCCCTCTAGCCTTACTCTACACCACCTCACTTGTCCATCGCTGTGTCTCTAGTTTTACCATACTTACTCTGGAAGTAAATTTTCCTATAGTCTATACTCTGTCTAGAAATCAGATTCTGGTGTTTAGATGAGACCTGCTTATGGAGATGCTGAACTTGATAACTACTGATAAACTGGTTTGCTTTAGGACAGGAACGCAGATGAATCAGTATTTCTGAATTTCCTGGAAGAGGAAAAAACACAGGCATACAGGCAAATGTAAAGGAAGTAAACTAACTTGCCTCTAAACACCATAATTGAATGATATAGATAAGGATTTCGATGACTTTAGAAGGCAGTAACAAGAAAGCCACCAAACCTACCACATCAATCCATTAAAAAAAAAAAAGAATTCCTGACCACGTTTGAACTTTCACATACTTTTGACTCTCGGATTTTAACAGGACAGCAAATTATTTGTTTGGCAGTATAGTGGGATCAGAATTCAGACATTTCAGAATAAGTAGGGCTAAATATACATGAGACATTCTTAACTATATTGATCCTGTGATTCCACAACAGTCTGTAGTCCATATCTTCATTTCTTTCACCAAAACAAAACTGAAAGGCCAGAATATTATTGGAACTTTCAGGAGTCACATACACCTAGGCTTCCTCGTAGAGATCAGGGAAGGGTCTTAAATGGAAGAATCTAGCTCAACCTATCTCAGCTCCACACCCTAAATATTTATTCCGACTCTCATAGACCTACTTTCTCTTTTCCCTTTGGAATTACTCCCATTTGCCTGCTCTATCTCATCCCTTCATGGCTCAGCTGCGTTCTGACAACTCAAATTTATATAAATGTAAAAATCAACTAATAGATATTCTGATTTCATTTATCATACTACCACTGAGACTGAGTTGGAAGTAATAGTGGGGCACCTGAGGCCCAGAGACCTTAAGTGACTTGTCTAAGACCAGCCAGCCTTCTGGGGCAGAACCAGGACTAGAATTTCCATCTCCTGACATCAAGCCTCGTGCCCTTTCACAGCAGGTTGAGGGAATGGAAGCAGAGGGAAGTTAGGGAGGAATATGGATAAAAAGGAAGAAGGTAGGATGGTAGTCCACTTTGATCTCCCCACCACTCACCTCAGATCTGAAGGCAAAGCAGTGGAAGAAACACCAGATTGGAAAGCTAAAGATCTTGGTCTGATCCTGGCCCTGCCATTTAACACTTGATCTTCCTGACCTTGAGTAACTCATTTCCCCCCATGGCTTCCTTTTGCTCATCTGTAAAATAGGGAAAATGTCACTGATGTAGATGGGTTAATGTGAGACAAATGATGTAATGCCTGTGAAAGCACTCTACAAGCAGCATAGTAAATTATGAAAGGCAAGATGTAGTCTCACTGGCAAGTCTGTTCACACTGAAGAAACCCAAAGGTGAAGACCAAGGTCTTTCATACAAATGGTTTAAGTAGCTTGAGTTATCTGAAGCTCACTGTGATGATTTCTGACTGGTAAAACAAGAAATCAATGTTAACCCTCATTGGAGAGTCTCTAGGTATTTCATTTTTCTCCTCTGCCTTTTCCTGCTCTTTGTTAATTTACACAGAATTCATATAAGCAGAAATACTATGTTTCCTAGAGAATCTTTTTTTTTTAAGATTTTTTTATTGGGGAATTGGCGGAGCGGGGGGTGGGACAGTGTTGGGGGAATTGGAGAAGTGGAACAGCCAAGTTGTTGTTCTTCAGTCTTCGTTGTGGAGGGTGCCAGTCACCATCTGGCTCCCCGTCGGCAGCTGGTGGCGTCTAAGCTCAAGGTGCTGTGTTCAATCTTAGTTGCGGGTGGGCGTAGCCACCATCCCATGCGGGAGTCAAACCAGCAGCCTTGTTGTTAAGAGCACACGCCCCATCCACTGAGCCATCTGGGCAGCAACTCAGCTCAAGGTGCCAAGTTCAGTCTTAGTTGCGGATGGGTGTAGCCCACCATCGAACATCTTGTTGTTATACCAGCTGAGCCATCCTGCCATCTGTTAGCAGCTCAGCGACAGCTCAGCACGGGCGCAGCATCGCTGGCCCATGTGGGAATCGAACCAGTGACCCTGTTGCTCAGAGCTCACACTCTAAAGCCAACTCTAAACCAACTGAGCCACTCGGCTGGCCGAGAATCTTTTTTTTCATCCAGTAATGTTTCTTGGTCATCTCATATTTGCCTGAATTGTACTTTCTAGTCTAGTCTATTTGGAAAGCTAGCCTTTCTTCATCCTTGCTATTATAATGATAACTGGGCTATGGATTGATATGGATATGGAAAGTATAACATGGAAAGTTAATGCTGGAAAGGATTAGAACAAATAGCATAGGCACTCCTTTATTTTTATGGAACTGGGATGATTTAGGCAGGTATAAGAAGTGATCTGGGGGTGGCCGGTTAGCTCAGTTGGTTAGAGCGCAGTGCTCATAACACCAATGTTGCCAGTTCAATCCCCACATGGGTCACTGAGATGCACCCTCCATAATTAGAATGAAAAAACTACTTGACTTGGAGCTGATGGGTCCTGGAAAAAACACTGTTCCCCAATTAAAAAAAAAAAAAAAAGAAGTGATTTGCCCAAGGTATCAGGAGTCAAAGACAGATTAAGAATTTATATATACTACTTCAAAAAAATAGCCAAATTGGGAGACTTCCCTCCCCCCCATACAAACTGTAGAATCCCTTCACATGCATGTTAGAAATTTCAGTGTAACTACCTAAGATTATGTATCACTTTATGCAATGTTGCAGTTATAATAATGTTAGGATACGGTGATGATTCTCAAACTTTATCTATATCAGAACCACCTAGAGGACTTGTTAAAACCCAGGCTCCTGGGCCCCAACCTCAGAATTTCTGGTTTAGCAGGTGAGATCTGAGGATTTCCATTTCTAACAAGTTCCCAGGTGCTGCTGCTGCTGCTACAGGGACCACACTTTGAGAACCACTGGGCTTTGGGTCTGATGGCACCTGGTTTTCTAGGAGTTGACAAAACTGTGTGGTAAGAGAAATCTTTCTTGTGATTTGTGTTAGTGCCTTTTCTTGCAAATCTTAGTTCTCTGCTAATTATCAAATAACCCACTTAGAATATTGGTAGATAAAGGCTTAAGGCAGAGGCTCTCAAATATTTTTCTGTTAGAATCACCTAGGGCACTTGTTAAGGATGCAGATTCCTGCCACCTTCTCCCTACCCCAAACCCTCAAATGCAAGGAGATTGTCCTTATGCCAGGGATTGTCCTTATCTTTATTATATCCTGAGGGTCTGGGTGTTCTATAGGTAATCGTTGAATGAATGAATGAATGTGATAGACTGCTGCATAGGTGGCTCCTGACAAATTATGATTTCTAGGCTATAAACTCTTTTTGGAATACATTGTATCAAAAGCTGCCCATATGAATACTTTGGTATAAAACAGTAACATTTCCCTTGATAAGCAGACAAAACCCATCCATTACCCTAATGCATTCCCATCTCCTTGTAACTATTCTACTTTGTCTAGTCTCAACCACCCTTATTAGTCACAACTCACTTCTGTCCCTTCACAGGAACACACAAGACTGAGCTTGGGCTATGTGCACGGCCAATGGGACATTAGCAAACATGATGCAAGCAGAAATAAGGTAAGTTCTTGTACAAAAGTGGGACTTTCCCTCTTGGAACCCAGCTGCCTTGCTGTGAGAAAGCTGATCCAATCTACTAGCAGATGAGAAGCCATGTGGAGGAAAATAATTGCACCGACACCAACTTCCAGATATGTGAATATTTCAGCCCCAGCAGAGCTCCCAGCTGATTGCGGCTGCTGAATGAGCAACTTAGTTGAAGAGTGACCTTAGCCAATATCACCAAGAGCAGGAAAACCACCCAGCTGAGCCAAAAGTATCCAGAGTCATGAGACATAATAAATGGTTGTTGTTTCTGGCCACTTGGTTTTGGAGTCATTTGCTATGCAGCAACAGATAGATGATACAATGAGTACATTTTGGTATGATCTCTTTTCCTCATAGAATTTAATTCTTGGTCATATTTGGTTACAACCAAGATGCTGGGTCTTTTTGGAAACATCAAAGTATGAGCATTCACAAGTTTTCTCATTTTCCAAACACATTTGGTAACTTGCAAATAATGCAAGTTGACAGGTTTTCAAGGTTCTGGGGCCAGGATGATACCTGAAATGCCTTTGAGGTCTTGTTAAGGGCAAGGTGGTGCCTAAGGCAGGACCATTGTCACTTTGGTTGTTTTTAATTCCTTCTCTCAGCATCCCTTTGGCTTTTCAGTCTCACATTCCTCTTGTTTTCCTCACGTTTTGTCTTTTGTGTACTTGTTTGTTTTGTCTTTTTTTATATGCCCACCTGTAAACCTCCAGTGGCTAAGAAAAGAGAGACAAAGATGTGTGTTTCTTTTTATTTTCTGCCTTTGCCACTGTATACAGAGATGTAAAAAATATGGACACTGACAAAAATAAAGCCAAAATAGCCACAATTATGTTCACAGTTATGTTCAAATATGTTCATGATTACAAATTATGTATTACATTTATAATCCTGGGGCACTGACTTTTCAAGTGCTCCATTAACACATTCATATCATACAAAAATTATTTAGTGCCTTGCCTGACATGTCACATAGTAGGCACAAAATATATGTTTTGTTTGTTTCTTTGTTTCAAAGATTTAATTGGGGGATTGGGGGAGGGGAACAGCACTGAGGAATCGGGGAAGGGGAACAGACAAGTTGCTGTCCTTTTGTTCTTCAGGCTAGTTATGGAGGACGTTGCTTCACTGGCCCATGTTGGTATTATTGCGCTCTTCCCGGGTGAGGCAGTTGCTCACCAGCCATTGGATGGCTGCTCACAGTGGTTCACAGCAGCTCACGCTGGCTGCCGGCCAGCCCCACTGCAGCCTATGTTGTCGCCGGCAAATTACAGCAGCCCAGCTCCAGGTCAAGCTGTTTTTCACCATCTTAGCTGTAGAGGGCGCAGCATCACTGGCCCGCATGTGGGATCCAAACCGGGGCCCTGCTGCTCAGAGCTGGCATCCCAAGCAAACTCCTAACCAACGTGCCACTTGGCCGGCCCCACAAAATATGTGTTGAATGAGTGCAGAGAATTCACTAATCTCAATGAAAGTATAATCCTTCATTTGCTGATTCTTTAAAAAAAAAAAAAGTGAGGGCCAGCCTAGTGACGTGTTGGTTAAGAGCTGGCTTGGGACGCCAGAGGGCCCCGGTTCGGATCCCACATATGAGGGCCAGTGACACTGACCTCTACAGCTAAGGTACTGAACCTGGAGCTGGGCTGCCGTGAGTCGCTGGCGACGGCGTAGGCTGCAGCCCCTGCTGCAATGGGTTGCCATGGGCTACCATGTGTAGCCAGCAGCCAGCGTGAGTGGCCAAGCAGCCACAGTGAGCAGCCGTCCAGAAGCCGGTGACTGATGTGCCTCGTCCAGGAAGAGCACAATGATGGTGCCAACTTGGGCAAGTGAAGCAACGTCCTCCACAACTAGACTGAAGAACAAAAGGACAGCAACTTGTCTGTTCCCCTCCCCCCAAATCCCCAGCGCTGATCCCATCCCCCAATTCTCCAATAAAAATCTTTAAAAAAATAGTGAGCTCTTGATAAGAGAGAGTAACTAAACAGTTTGTTTAGGCTCCATATTTAAACTTGACTAGGAAAAAAAAAATTGGAAGAAAATATGTCATTTATCACTCAGTAACAGCATGTAAGGAAAGAACAATAACCTTAATTGAAGTATATTCATTGTGTTTTTAATGGGAAACTGTACTCATTTTTGAAACATTACACTGAAAGCACATGCATCTTTGGGGGGGCACTTCTTATTTGTGAAGGAACATATAGATTTGATTTTTTAAAATTAAAGTATTGGAAAGAACTTTACAGATTATCTAGCTCAATTGCACTTATCAGAGCTAAAGAAAATAAAGGCAAGAATCTGGCTAACTTGTCCAAGGTGACTCAGATGTATGATATTGGTCACCAAGTGGTGAGATAGATGTAAATGTATCTTACAAATTTATCACTACTCATGAAAAAAACCTCAGAGTAAAAGCCAACCTACAATGAATCAACAGTACCATTTCACTAAAGATACTGTAAACATATAAACATTATATCAGTTGGTTAAGAGCTCGCTCAAGAGTTTGAGCTCTGAGCAACAGCGGTTCGATTCCCGGCCCGAGCTGAGCATCCGCTAAGCTGCCAACAGGTGGCAGGATGGCTCAGCTTAAAACTAAACAAAACAAAAAAAAACATATAAACATTATACATATAAATAATTAAGCTATCACTGAAAAAATATCTGTGGCCTTTTCTCAGAGTTTTTCTACCATACTTTATGTACTCCATTCTCCCAAGGCCCCCTTCCTCACCACTGTACACAAAACCTAGGTATTTGTCTCTGTTTTCTATCTCTCTATGTTAGAGAATGAGGAATTTTAAAATGTAGAGAAATGGGGGCGGCTGGTTAGCTCAGTTGGTTAGAGTGCAGTGCTCATAACACTGAGGTTGCCGGTTCGATCCCCACATGGGCCAGTGAGCTGCACCCTCCACAACTAGATTGAAACAGCTACTTGACTTGGAGCTGATGGGTCCTGGAAAAACACACTGTTCCTCAATAAAATAAAATTTAAAAATGTAGAGAAACATCAAATGCTGGTAAAGATGTGGAGCTACAGGAACTCTCATTCGGTGCCAATGGGAATGCAAAATTGTACAGCCATTTTGGAAGGCAGTTTGGCAGCTTCTTACAAAAGTAAACATACTCCTACCATAAAATCCAGCAGTTGCCCTCCTTGGTATTTACCCAGAGGAGTTGAAAACTTATGTCCACAAAAAAGCCCTGCACCAGATGTTTATAGCAGCTTTATTCATAATTGTCAAACTTGGAAGCAACCAGGATGTCCTTCGGTAAGCAAATGGATAAATGAACTCTGGTACATCCAGACAATGGAATATCATTCAGTGCTGAAAAGAAATGAGCTATCAAGCCATGAAAAGACATGGAGGAACCTTAAATGCATATTACTAACTGAAAGAAACCAGTCTGAAAAGGCTACACACTGTAAGATTCCAACTATATGACATTCTGAAAAAGGCAAAACTATGGAGACAGTAAAAATATCAAAACTTGCCAGGGGTTTGTTGGGGGGGGGGAGGGATGAATAAGTGCAGCACAGAGGATTTTTACAACAGTGAAGCTACTCGGTATTGATACTACAATAGTGGATGTATGTTATTATATGTTTGTCTGTATGGATCTATAAATTCATAGAATGTGAACCATAAGAATGAACGCTAACGTAAACTATGGGCTTTGGGTGATAATGATGTGTCCATGTAGGTTCATCAGTTGTAACAAATGCACCACTCTGCTGTGGGATGCTGGTAGTGGAGAAGGCTGTAGGTATGGGGGCAGGGCTCATATGGGAACTGTCTGTCCTTGCCATTTGGTTTTGCTGGAACATAAAACTGCTCTAAAAAATCAAATCTGTTTTTAAAAATAACTGTAGAGATCATTTCAATAGGTTTGGATGGTTCTGTCACCTACTTAACCTCCTCGGCTGGCTGGCTGCACAGTACTGGACCTTGACTACCTTGGTTGAGAGCTCACCATTCTTGCCCTCCCTTGGTCATTTCAGTTCTTTGGTCTCAACCTCCTTTACTTCTGAGCACATTGCTTTTATTGGTTTACTTCCTGGCATTACGACAACTTTAGTTTTATTAGAATTCTTTTTAGTTGTATTTAAATAAGCTTATGAATTTAATCATTTTTTAAAGCTAAGGCTATTTGAAACAATTTGTAAAATAGTGGTACAACATGAAACCACTAACTTATGGAGACTAGAGGTTTTTTTTTCTCCTTTTAAAAACAGTTGGTCCCCCAAACCCTGCTCTTCAGGAAAATTTCAAGTACACTTTATACTAACATTTTCAAATATACCTTAAGTTCTCTACTCCCCTTCATGCTCTTTCCCCTAACTGCTGGTTTAATGACACTATAGTCCGCGAATGGAAATTTTTTTTTTTTTGGTCGTTTATGTCTGGCTGCCTGGAAATGATGGTGATGTCAAAATCGTTGGTTGGCAGTTAGGCAACATAACAAGAGGAACCTTGTTAAAGGGGAAATAGCTTCTATTTGTAAATTAGTATTTGTACAGTGAGGAATCCATAAGTTTGTATGACTCTCTCTTCTTCTGGATGGGGTAATATGACATCTCGGCCTATTAAAGAGAACTGGCGTTGGTGTTCTAAGGCCCCAAATTTCAAGATGGCTTGTTATACAGTCTCACCTGTACTCAGCTCAGTCTTCTATCGTGAGGGAACAACAATCACACAACTGGTTGCTCATCTTTCCTCTTTTTCTGTTATGGAAAATATGTTAGTCCAGTTCTTTAGGTACAAGGAACCAAATACATTTAAATTAGCTAAAAACAAAACTGTGCGTGTACATGTGAGTGTATGCTCATGTGCACATGCTGAGTGAGAGGTAAGGGATGGTTTTGATGACAAAACAGACAACTTCTTAGACATAAGACCTGCAGCTCAGCCAGGCTTCATGTTTGCTGGTACTGGGGAGCCTCTGAGAACTGAATCTACTCAAACCATCTTTTTTTTTTTTGGCCTCTCTGGGACTCTTCTCTGAAAATCTTTGAACATCTGTTCTGTTTTCCTATTTCACTCTGAAGACTGGCTTTCTCTGTTTATTCATCACGTTGCACAGGGCTCCAAATGAACCTCAGTCTCTAAGTCTAGAAGACTCTATCCCTTATTGATTACATTGTATTGCTAAATACGAACCTTTAAAAAGAAGACTTGAAGGCCGGCCGAGTGGCGCGTTGGTTAAGAGCTGGCTTCGGATGCCAGAAGGCCCCGGTTCGGATCCCACATATGAGGGCCAGTGACACTGACCTCTACAGCTAAGATGCTGAACAACAGCTTTACCTGGAGCTGGGCTGCCCTGAGTCGCTGGCGAGGGCGTAAGCTGCAGCCCCTGCTGCAGTGGGTTGCCATGGGCTACCGTGTGTAGCCAGCAGCTACTGTGTGTAGCCAGCAGCCAGTGTGAGCGGCCAGCAGCTGCCGTGAGCGGCCGTCCAGAAGCCGGGACTGATCTGCCTCGCCTGGGAAGAGCGCAATGATGGTGCCAACTTGGACCAGTGAAGCAATGTCCTCCACAACTAGACTGAGGAACAAAACGACAGCAACTTGTCTGTTCCCCTTCCCCCAATTCCCCAGCGCTGTTCCCATCCCCCAATTCCCCAATAAAAATCTTTAAAAACAAAACAAAAAGCAAAAAACAAACAAAACTACTTAAAATGGAAAAAGATTTGAGGGCCGGCCGAGTAGCGTGTTGGTTAAGAGTTAGCTTGGGACGCCAGCTCTGAGCAGCAGGGCCCCGGTTTGGATCCCACATGAGGGCCAGTGACGCTGCGTCCTCTACAGCTAAGATGGTGAACAACAGCTTGACTTGGAGCTGGGCTGCCGTGAGGCGCTGGCGCTGGCATAGGCTGCAGTGGGGCTGCAGTGGGCGGCCATAAGCTACCGTGAGTGGCCGGCAGCCAGTGTGAGCTGCCAAGAGCGGCCGTGAGTAGCTTTCCAATGGCCGGCGACCAATCTGCCTCACCCGGGAAGAGCGCAATGATAATACCAACATGGGCCAGTGAAGCGACATCCTCCATAACTAAACTGAAGAACAAAAGGACAGCAACTTTTCTGTTCCCCTTCCCCAATTCCCCAATGCTGTTCCCCTCCCCCAGTTCCCCAATAAAATCTTAAAAAAAAAAAGAAGACTTGATTGGTTCACCTCATATGTCTACTGCTTATAAGTAAGCCTCCCTTTAATCAAATGATCACCCCAATCTGGTCAGCAGTGGTGACACGGGACAGATACGGTGGGCATCTGCTGGTTGGCTGGATTTCTACTGATGTAGTCTGGGCTCAGCTGGGTGTCACTGCCTCAGAGTGTGGGAGCTAGGGTGGCCCTTTTTTTATCATTTCAGATTGTTTATTGGACAGGGTGACTCTGCTCCATGTGTGTTATCATCTTCCTTGGTCCAGTGAGATAGTTTGGTCTTAGGCAAGTTCATCTCATGGTGATGGTAAAAGTACAAGAGAACAAATGGAAACATATAAGGCCTATTAAGGGCTAACCTTGAAATTGTCACACTGATATTTTCATCCAGATATCATTCACCCAAGCAAGTCACATGGCCAAGCCTAAAGTCCAGGGGCAGGGAAATCCACTCCACCCATCATGAGACCATGGCAAGTGTCTGCCTGTAGGTAGGGCTGAAGAGTTGGGGCCAGCAATGCAACCTAGTACACTTTCCCCTTTTTCAAGTCTTTCATATGCTTATATTCGGACCAGCAGAGAGATGGTCCAAAGATGTTGACTAGTGGTGGAGAGCTAGAAGAGATAAGTCCAGGGCCTAGAGGAACCAACTTGTCTATAGGAATGGCTTCTAAGATTGTCAAAGTGACAGGGTTTTAAAAGACACACTGGATATGGGCTTGCTCTGGATCAATACTATTATTCCAGGAGATCCAATATGGTGCCATAGCAGCAATCTCTAGGCCATGTCATGACCCTGCAGTGAAGAGAGCCAGCCAGGTTGTAATACCTGGAATGAGAAAACTGCTGTGCACATCAAGAAAACAACAGAGATCTACAGTTATATATCTGGCCAACAGATGAGGTCAGAGGCAAGGTGTCAGCATGACAGCAAGTACTGGCCCAGTGCTTACAGGACAAGACTACTTCAGGCCTTGGGAAGGTCTGGTTTGGTCAGGCTTGCCTAAGGCCAGCGATGCAAGGTTATTGAGTCTTCTGGGCCTGGCAAGAAAAAACAAACATGGACTGATCCTACTAGCTCACAGTCACAGTGCCTTTTCTGACTTGTGAACCCAGCGCCTCCTGCCCCCAACCCACCATACCACTTGCTGTCTAAATGGCTCAGTTGGCAATTCATCATGTTCTGTCTTATCTGTTTCCTTAATTTCTCATGTGAAAAATCATATACCTATTTTTTCAAAATAAAATTCAGAGCAGGCCCATGTCCATATAGTTGATTCAGATTGTTTATGGAGTAGAAATCAGGGTAATGAGGTCAGAAGACCCAATAAGTGTAAACTTATGGTAGGAGGGAGGGGCAATAAAAGTAAATCATTAGTGAGGGTTAACTGAGAGTCCTAAAACTGGCTCCTAATGCAAGCTAGTTACTAATGGCAGAAAGGAGGCTGTGGCCTGACTGTAAGTGTTAGGAGAAATTGGGGAGGAGCTTGCTCCAAGCACTTAGGGGAAGAAAGGATTTAGGTCAAGCAGCAGTGGGAACTCTTTAAACTTCCTCATATCTGAATTCAGAGTAAGCTCCTATTTACCTTCCCATACTCATCCCCCACAACTTCCCCATCTGTACTCTACCCACTGCCAATGAGCATGCTTTCCATCCCCCAAAGACATCCTGCTCTTTCTCTATTCTGTGCCTTTGACTGTGCTGTTCCTGCCATCTAGTACACTGTCTTCCCAACTTTTGCCA